AAGCACCAAAAACGGCCGCAGCCGGCCGAGGCATGGGGTGGCGCCAAACGCCGATTCTACAGAGCTCTTCATCCTTCCAGCCGTTTAAGTCACTGAAAAAGGCCCAGGGAAAGCAAGTGAATGAAAACGGGTGGGCCTCGGAGGATGTTACGGATGTGCAAGACGCGGGCGATTTTGACTTTGAGGGTGGCCTTGCCAAGTTCGACAAGCAAAACTTGTTTGAGCAAATGCGCAAGGACGACACCGTCGACGAAGCCGATCGCTTGGTCACCCACAACCGACAATCTCGCCCGAAGCCGGGGACGGCGGGCGGAAAGAATTTCCACCACAGCGAAAATGTGCTCGAACCAACGCCGAGCATCCTGAAATCCAGCCTCAACAGAGTCAAAGAGCCGGCCAACGACTTTTGGAACAGCGAGGCAGATGACGGTGCGCTCAATGGTGGCGAGCGTCTGAGCGGCAGGGAGCTCGGGGTGGCGATGAGTAGCCGACAGAGCTCGCGCCGGGGGGAGAGCAAGGTATCTGCCGGTCGACGGTCCCAGTCACGCAAGGCTAGCGGCGTTGCAGCTGGGCCTGCCATCAACAGAGTCAACTCTGGTGTAAGCCATTACCGCGCCCAGTCTCTCAGGGGAAGTCGGCCCAGCAGCCGGCTCTCGGCCAACGCCGCGGTCGCTGACAAGACGAAGCAGCTCCCGACAGCCTCCCAGGGGCTGTACCTCCTTCCGTCGAACCGACGCATCGAACCCGTCTCGGCGCTGCAGATGCTCAACCTGGAGAACATTGCGCACAACGAGATTGGCCTGACGGAGGACATGATGACGGAGAATGCTGGACGTGGCATTGCCGAGGTCACCATGACTGCCCTTTCCGATCCGGCCATCAAGGTGCGGCACGCGGGCGCCGTCGATCCCACGACGGGGAACCCGCCGCCCCTCACCGTCGTGGTTCTCGCAGGGAACAACAAGTCGGGCATCCGAGCCATTGCGGCAGCGCGTCACCTCCGCAACAAGGGGGTCAACGTCATCGCCTGCGTGGTGGGCGTGGAACGGGGCGAGCGGGAGCTCCTAGAGGACATGCGTCAACAGGTGCGCCTTTACAAGAATATGGGCGGACGCATCTTCTCCAAGAGCGATTTCTTTGAGCACCTGCGCAAGATCAGCATGCCGGTCCTGACCATCGACACGCCCCGCACGTCACTCAGCAGCCTGGCGAACCCGGCGCCGGTGATGCTGATCGTGGACGCGCTGCTCGGTCTCGCCATCACGTTTGACGAGCTGCGCAACGGGGATCAGGCGACGGTCTATGAGCTTATCGAGTGGGCCAACCGCAACGAGGCGTTTGCCCTGGCCGTTGACATTCCGACGGGCATCGACCCCTCGTCTGGCAAGGTCAGCGTGGTGGACGGGAACCGGCTCTACGTCAAGCCCCGGTACGTGGTCGCAGTTGGGGCGCCGAAGCGAGGGCTTCTAGACGCCATGCTTGCGGCCGACAACGAGGATGGGGATACGGTTCTGGCCGGCGACGCGACGGTGCCGGATGACGGCGTCACGGACTGGATGCTGTACCTGGTTGACATGGGATTTGGGCCGTCCATCTGGAAGAAAGCCGGGACCAAGATGCGCAAGGGCATTGACTTTGGGGACAAGTGGGTGCTGTCGATGAGGTTTCAGGGAGCGGCGCCTCCCGATGACGACGAACCGGGCGATGGCTTCCTCTAGGTTCAAGAGCTGTCTCACGGTGAAGAGGGGTTACAGATCTGCCGCGGCTTGGAGGAACCCGACACATACGGGTGGGTCCCACGGGTCCTTCCACGGGCCCTCGAATGTTTGAAACGACTACTCTGGCGATGAAGAGGGGACGCTCCGGAGGCTGGGGTGTTTTGTGGCCAAGGGATATATGATTGATGTGAAAGGCGGCGTTATTCGTTTCTCGGGAGGCATTATTGCTCGCAGCGACACGCATTGGGTGCATTTTAGGCGTTTACAGCAGGGTCGGGACATGGCGGCGATGCATTTCATTTTTGGGAGGGAGGGCGGTGGTCACAAGGTTTACAAGGCAAGAAGGGAGTGTGTGTGCTATTCCGGGGTCTGGGGACTAGACATGGGAGGGAACGGTGGTATCTGCAGTTAGCGCTCTTAAATTGATCGACTACGGTTTTGTTCCAAAGCCGTTGTCAACGGTGGAGTGGTGAGCGTGGTGGTGTGTCTTTGATGATGACGGCAATGATGCGACCCACAAGATGTTTATTGTCCTTGGTGGGGTTGCAACTTGCCGGTGACTCTCCCTCAGGTCTCCCCCGCAGCTACAACAACAACATCATCACCATCCCGTCCGGTACCCATCTCACCCTCTTCCACGCCCCATCTCATCCGAGGGGACGGACTGGGACAGGAGGGACGCAATGGCACCCCTCGTGACGCTCGCGACCTGCGCGCTCAACCAGTGGTCGCTCGACTTTGAGGGCAACCTGCGGCGCATCAAGCAGAGCATCATCAAGGCCAAGGAGGCCGGCGCCACGCTCCGCGTCGGCCCCGAGCTCGAGATCCCCGGCTACGGCTGCCTCGACCACTTCCTCGAGACCGAGGTGTACGAGCACTCGTGGGACTCGCTCTTCTCCATCCTGACGGACCCGGACCTCCACGGCATCATCATCGACGTCGGCCTGCCCGTGCTGCACCGCAACTGCCGCTACAATGCGCGCGCCATCTTGCTCGACGGCAAGATCATGTGCCTGCGCCCCAAGATATACCTCGCCAACGACGGCAACTTTCGCGAGATGCGCTTCTTCACCCCCTGGAACCGCCCCCGCCACGTCGAGCAGTACTACCTGCCGCCGCACGTCCAGAAGCACCAGGGCCAGCGCCACGTCCCCATCGGCGACGTCGTGCTGTCCACCATCGACACGTGCCTCGCCGCCGAGACGTGCGAGGAGCTCTTCACCCCCAACAGCCCCCACATCAACATGGGCCTCAACGGCGTCGAGATCTTCACCAACAGCAGCGGCAGCCACCACTCGCTGCGCAAGCTGGACCAGCGCATCGCCCTGATCCAGGAGGCGACGCGCAAGAACGGCGGCGTCTACCTGTACTCGAACCAGCTCGTACGTGCCCCCACCCCCACCCCCACCACACGAACCCCCCTACTGACATCTCCCCAGGGCTGCGACGGCGACCGCCTCTACTACGACGGCTGCGCCATGATCTTTGTCAACGGCGACATCGTCGGCCAGTCCAGCCAGTTCTCGCTCAACGAGGTCGAGGTCATCACGGCGACCATCGACCTGGAGGAGGTGCGCGCCTTCCGCGCGGCGCCGTCGCGCGGCCTCCAGGCCGTCGCCGCGCCCGAGTACCAGCGCATCGAGGTCGACTTCTCGCTCGCGCGCGACCCGCTCGACCTCGACCTCGAGCGCACCCTGCCCCGCCCGCCGCGCTACCACCTGCCCGAGGAGGAGATCGCCCTCGGCCCGGCCTGCTGGCTGTGGGACTACCTGCGGCGGTCGCGGCAGGCGGGGTACTTTGTGCCGCTGTCGGGCGGCATCGACAGCTGCGCGACGGCGACGATTGTGTACTCGATGTGCCGGCTGGTGGTGGCGGCGCTGGCCGAGGGGAACGAGACGGTGGCGGCGGATGTGAAGCGGATTGCGGTGTTTGGGGAGGGGAAGCTGCCGACGACGGCCGAGGAGCTGTGCGGGCAGATCTTTTATACGTGCTACATGGGCATGGAGAAGCAGAGCAGCAGGGAGACGAGGGAGAGGGCGAAGGCGCTGGCGGAGAGGATTGGCGCGTATCATACCGATGTGAATATCGATGATGTGTTTCACTCGACCAAGAATATCCTGACGCAGGCGACGGGGTTTGAGCCCAAGTTCAGAGGTGGGTGGTGGCCGTATCCTTGCGAGGGGTGCTTGCTGACTTGGAAACAGTTCACGGGGGATCCACCACGCAGAACCTGGCGCTGCAGAATATCCAGGCCCGGTCGAGGATGGTTATCGCGTACTACTTTGCGCAGGAGCTGTGCGAGGTCAGGGAGCGGCCCGGTGGCGGCTCGCTTTTGGTTCTGGGGAGCTCCAACGTGGATGAGTGTCTGCGTGGATGTGAGCATCCACGACGCCCCCTTTCTCGCTGCGAGATGCTGACTCCGAACAGACTTGACCAAATACGACTGCTCCTCCGCCGACATCAACCCCATTGGATCCATCAGCAAGGTCGACCTGGTAAGTCCCAACCAGCACACCTCTCCAGACAGAGGTGGTCAAACTAACACCCCCCTGCAGAAACGCTTCATCGCCTGGGCCGCCACCGACTTTGACATGCCCATCCTCACGGACTTCATCGACGCCATCCCCACGGCCGAGCTCGAGCCCATCACGGCCGACTACGTGCAGAGCGACGAGGTCGACATGGGCATGACGTACGCGCAGCTCTCGCGCTTCGGCACCCTCCGCAAGGTCAACAAGCTCGGCCCGTACGGCGTCTTCCTCTGCCTCCTGAAGGAGTGGGGCGGCGAGGGCGGCATGACGCCGCGCGAGATCGCGCACAAGGTCAAGCTCTTCTTTCACTTTTTCCAGATCAACCGCCACAAGCAGACGGTCGCCACGCCGGCGTACCACGCCGAGAGCTACAGCCCGGACGACCACCGATTCGACCTGCGGCCGTTCTTGTACCCGCCTGCCTTTGAGAGCTGGTCGTTTAGGAAGATTGACGAGAGGGTGACGGCGTTGGAGGCGAGGGGGAGGGGAGGCGGGTGAATGTTGAAGTATTCTTGGGAGCCATTTCCTACCTAGGTACATCCCTTTGCCTAGAGACCGTGGTTATGCAATCCGAGATGCTCTTACCCTGTGACCACCTCTAGTCGACCATACAGAACCATTGTTGTTTTGTGATAATCGTGACGATGGAAAGTCTGTGACTCAACTATGCGGAAGACTTGGTCGGGGACCACCCGGACAGGAGGTTTCAATTGCTTTTCCCAACCCATCTGACATCAAACCAAGAGTGTTCGGTCGTATAGTGTAGTTGGTTATCACATCGGATTCTGATGTTCTGCATCTGATCTTCCGGGGACCTGAGTTCGAATCTCGGTATGACCTCTTGAGTTGCTTATCATTTTGCAAAAATGTTTAATTTTTTTTTGCCTCCCTCACAGTGGACCCCGGAGTGGAGAGGTTTCTTTTTTTCTCTATACGTATAAGCCGGCAGTGCTGAGTTGGCCGATGGTCGGGAAGAGGACGGAGAGAATTCTCGACATTGAACTTGACGGAACTCCGTAAGAGCACCCAGCAGTCCCTATATATCCTCCCCTTCGAGACATAACAAGCACATACGGCCATAGATAGTGGAAAGCTCGGGATCCCGTCCGCTCTCCCATAGATAAGCCACTAATCGCCAGACTAGTAGTTGGGTCGGTGACGACCAGCGAATCCCTGGTGCTGTATGTTTTTTTTGTCGTTTCTTTTTTACCTTGGTCTTTCTCTCCTTGCTTAGGAGGAAGGTTCTCGTTCTCGGATGCTGTTGTCGGCGCTATGTTCAATAGGTATGTTGTTTCGTCGTCGAGGGGACGGGACGTCCGCCTTGTTGTTGGTACTTTCTCCCCCGGCTCTCTCGAAACCACCAGAAACCACCATCATCCGCCGCATACCAACACCAGACACGGCACTTACACCACACCAGAAACTGCGTCCGTCCACCAGTGGTGAGTGGGTGACGCACCAGTGACGTGTCAAACCTCCGCTCCGGCCTGGGCCGTGACGGCATCTCGTTCCGCAGGCCAATCAAGCTTGGACATGGCACCTCCCCAGCGTCCAGACGTCGCTGCTCAGCTTCCATCTCGCCAGCCATCCCCCAGCCTCAGAGGTCAACTCCGAGACGTCGTCCAGACCGCTCAGCTCGATAAGAGCATTTTGCTGCACTCATAAGTATACCCGGGATTTCCAGTCCACGCCCGCCCGCTCCGAGTCTTCCTTTCCTGTCCACGATTCACTGAAAAAGCTGAATGTATGTATTCATTTTTGTTTCATTTCCTCTCTCCTTCTTCGCTAGCTTGGAGCTGCTCCATCTCGACGCCGACAAACCCGATCGATGCCCTCTCTCCCGGCTCGACACATGTGTCTTCTCCTCCCACCTCCAGCGCCCGCCCACACGAGGCTTCACCCCCGCGGCGTCTCGTCCCCGGCCAAGCCGCCGGCGAACAAACAAAGGAAACTGTCTCCAAGAGGGTCTCCCTCCTCCTCCCACGCAACGCAGGGGAGGGATCCCGGTGTGTATGCGATGCCTGCTGCTGGCAAGGATAAAACAAGTCCACCAAATGCCCCCCAAGTCTCCCAATTTTTCTCTTTTGCCCCCTTTCCCAGTTGCCTGACCGTTTCCCATCTTGACTCCTTATATATATAATACCGTTGCTCCTCAAAACACCCCCCGGCCCCATCGACATAGGAAAAACACATGGTGTGTATGTGTACGGCAGCACAGAGGCATCTCTCCTCGAAGAGGTTGCGTGTGCCGACGAGATGTATCCAAACAGAAAGAAAAACATCCGCTGCGTCGGAAAGACCAAGGACAAGGCTCCTCCAAAATGTATCCGGCGGAAAAACAAGAACCACCCCAATTCTATACATCCAAATCTCACATCGCCTTCTATGCTTATATTCACAGGGTTCGTTGGGTGGCCTCTCAGATCCGCGCGCCGCTGAGGTGCGACGACGGGAAGAGGGCGTATTGGTGGGCGGGGGGCGGGGTGCTCAGGCTCGTCGTCCTGGCGCGCTGGCGCCGGGCGATGATCGAGTCCTTGCGCTTGAGCGGGTCGTCGACGACGAAGCGCTTCAGGTTCGACTCGCTGCTCCGGCCGCCAAAGGGGTGGCTCCGGGCAGCCGCGGCGGACCCGACCTCCTCCGTCTCGGGAAGGGTGGGCATCGCCGCCTTGGTGTGCGTCTCCAGGGCGGGGAATGGCTGGAGCGTCTCGGCCTTGACCGAGTAGCTCTCCATGTCGAGCGATCCCGTGCTCGCCGTGAGCCGGGTGAAGTCGGTCGACGACGACGCCGCCGACATGTGCTTCTCGAATCCGGATTGGCTGCTCTCAAAGGTCCCCGTGGTGGACGCGCTCGTGCGGTATCGCTGCAGAATCGATGTGTCCAGCGACAGCGACGGCTCGTCAAAAGGGTGGTAGCCAAACTCGCGGGCATCGGCCTCGGCAGCCATCATCTGCAGCTGATAATCGTTGGGAATCAGGAGGGACGGCGAAAGGTTGAAGCCGTGCGACTCCTTGAAGCTCGAAGCGTCGGATGGCTTGCGCACATGGAGATGCTGGAGCGAACTCGGCACATCGGCTCGGGGCAACGAGAAGTTGGAGGCCCGGGGCAGAGTCAGCGTCGGCGTGATGGCCTCGTGCGCCGTCACGGCAGACATCTGGCTGACGGGGCTGAGGGCGGGCACGTCAAACTGGGCTGGCGTCAGCATCTCGGGCGAAGCCTGGGAAGACGCAGTTGCCCGGAACCGATCTTCCACGGGCGTCGTACTTTCGCAGTCTCGGCTCAAGTCAAGAGACGGCCGGTCCCAAGCATACTCGCAATCCGCCTCGGCCGCGTGCTCGTACACATAGTCGATATCGTCCTCCCAGTCCTCCCGCGTCAGCGAACCGGACCCGTTGCCGTCCAGCAGGGCCGCCTTGAGGGCCTGCTGGGCCGCGACGAGATCGAATCTCCCCAGCGTGTCCGAGCTGTTGCTGGGCGGCCGGCGGAGGCTCTCCTCCTCCCGAGGAGCGGCGGCAAAGGGCCTCAGCATCGGCACCGACTGGCACATTCGCAACGACGAATTGCTTGCTACGCTCACGTGAGATGGCTTCCAGGCGGCGGGGCTCTCATCCTCCTCCGGGACGTTCGCCAGCAGAGATTCGTACGAAGGGGTCGCAGGGAGAGGCCAGTTCGAGTCTCCGGGGAAGCTGTCCTTGCGCGCGTGGCCGTGCTCCGGGATGGTGTCCATATCGGGGAAGTAGCTCTGGGAGGCAGAAGTTGGGCTGGATACTTCGGCGGGCGAAAAGGCAAAAGGTTGGGGCTGGCGGAAGCTGCCGCCGGTCAGGGGTCGGTCAAGGGGCGCTTCGTCGAGGGGGTCAAGCCCGTCCGGATGGGCCGACGCGCGGCTCGACATTCGCGGTGGAGGAACCGGAGGGGACGGCATCAGCATGCTTGGATCGACAGGAGATCGTGGTGGGCGCGGGGGCGGCTGGCGCATGTGCTCCTGCGACTGGCTGTGCTTGAGAAGCCGCCGTGGTGGCGACATCTGCTTCGGCAAGAAGGACGATGGGCGTTGGGATCCGGCGAGCTCGTCCTCCTCGCGCAAAGGGAGGAAATCGGACGAGAAATCGGCAAAGTGCAGGTCGTGTCCTCGAGGGGTGGCATGCGAAGCTAGGAGCTGGGCAGAATCCGTTTGCTGCACGTCCGAACCGGCATCCCTTTGCGTGTGGGCTACGTGCTGAAAGTTATAGGGGCCCGAGATGTGGAACTTCTTTCGCGTCGCACTCTCCGACGTCTCCAACGTCGCTGTGCGACGGCGGCCAAACAACGATGGCACAACCGAGTCCCGCGTGCCCGGAACAGCGGGTGGCGGCATCGCCTCGCTGCCGTTCTCGGTCGAGTACAGCGAGCTGCCGGCCGACGAGGACGGGGCGCTGCTCTCGCGCTTGAGCTTGCCCCTGCGGTTGAAGAGCGTCTTGCCAAAGATCTGCACGCTGTCGGGACGCTCCCGCGACGAGGGCATGGCGCCCGTTGCCGACCTCCCCGACGATTTCCGCGAGAGGGACTCGAGCGCGTTTTCCCACGAAGGTCGGTCTGTCGAGGTGAGCGACCGCAACGACGAGGATCCCGAGGATGTGGTGTGGTGGCTTTGGCGGTGCTCTGGTGCTATCGTGGTCTGCTTCATGGCGACCCGGAGGCTCTCTGGTGACGGGGGGCCATCGACGGCGGGATCCAACAGGCCTCGGAGGCTATCCGTGTCGTTGTGCAGCGTCGTCTGCGAGGGTGACGGGATGAGGACGGTGGCCGACGAGTTGGCCCTGTTGCGACCGAGCAAGTACTTTGACTTTTTGGTGGGCTTACGACGCGGCTCTACCGCATAGACGGGCAGTTCCGACACGGCCCACATTCCATTCATGATGGCGAATTGCTTCTCCGCTTGGTGGCCACCGTGGCCTGGGCTGTGTTGTTGACGTTTTCCTCGGTGGGACGGCGAGCCGGAGACGGGATCGACGGGCCACGGGCGTGACGCGAAGGGCCGGTGTCACCTACCAACCAGCAAGCGTCGGGCGGCGCGGCGACTCCAGTTTTCCTGTCGTTCTCTGTGATGCGTGTCGGGGATGTTCCAGGTTGGGACGACTGTCGTCCAAACGTGTGCTGGGATCCGGGGCGGGCGTGAGTCAACCGTCGACTGCGAATATCGGACGGGTTGAATTGCAAAACAATGCAAAGGTCGAGATGGTCTTTCTTTCCAGGTCGAGGGAGAGCTTGCAACTGTGGGGGATGGGACGGGGACGGGTCCCTGGGTCCCATATATTGTCCCAGCGTGATTTCCTCTTGCAATGCGGACAGGGCGAGCAGAGGCCAGCGAGCCAGGGCCCCAACGGTCCACGCTAACTCGGTGCCATCGTCCAGGGTGGTGAGCCAGGGTGGCAGCAGAAGCTCGCCAGGATCACCGTCGATTCCGTGTCTTGGCTCTTGGGCCACAAGGCAGGGGGGGTGGGAGACGGCGCAGGGGTGGCGGGCCAGGTTGGGCCTGGCGTGTGCCTCGTGAAGCTTTGGGAGAATCAGGATAGCGGCACCCCGCCAGCTTCTCCTTGGCACCGTCTCCGTGCTCCGTAACCAGTTGGTGGGTTCGCGGTCCGTAACGGTAGCGCCCCCCTGCCAGGCGACCGTCGACGACGAAGCTGGCCATTCCCAACCGTGGTGGTGCCATTCTGGGTCGAAGCCAACAACCACAAGCCGCGTGTAATACTTTGTAAATCTCGCCAGCTCTCGCCAGGACCCGGAAACAAAACACCAACGAGTCCGCCCGCAGACGAGTCCAGCGCGGTACGGATCCTGCTGGGACGCTTGTGTGAAAAAGA